ATTTGGCCCCTTTGGACCTCCGATGGCTTTACCTCCGCTGAGTGGTTTAGGGTTTAACGTTTTGGATTTGGATGAGTCACTGCAAAAACTGCGCGCTTCTCATTTCGCCCACCCCACCGGACGCTCAAATGCTGATTTAGCTGGCCAAATGCATGATGAGTAATTTCCCCGAACTTGATGACTGTGCTGGAGTCAACAAATTGCCGCAACTTGCGTTGCGCAGCTTTTGTTGAAATCCTTGCTCAGCCAGGCGAGCAATTAGACCCTATCTCGGCTATTGGGTGCTGGGTCCCCTCCGCGAAAACCACATATGTTTGTGTGTGTTTCCAGTTTTCGCGAGGGATTGCAAGCAGGCTAGCCCACGGAGGCTACAAAGCGGCAGCCTGCCACACAAAAGGATGGAAATGGCCGGTGGCTTGGATAGTTCACCCAAAGGCAAAGGCAAAGCGACTGTTCTAGCTTTTTTGGCGGTCCCCTCTTCTTGGTGGCCCGCTGGTTATGACACAGCCTACAGCAGCAGGTTTTGAGGGCAGTTTGCTTGGGGCGGAGCTACTTGGAAAATCAAGCCCAAGTCCTCGTGGCAAGCAAACTCTGTTGTCGCCATGTCTGGAAGGAACCGGTCGCTGGAGCACTGGGCACAGAACCTACTGTACGGAAGTACGCCGCTAGAAGATCTCGCTTGCCCCAGCCAAAGCAATGCTGGGCGACACAAAGAGAATAGCATGGTTTGAGGGAGGCTAACACAGCAGCGGCAAAGGTGTGCGGCCGCCAAGCACACACCATGCGAGGCTCGGGTCAAGGCAAGAGTATACAAATATGTCAGTTCTGTAGCTGCTACAGGGGCATTCATGACACGGTCACAAACGCTCGTCAGCGTCACAGCAGTGCCTGGAGCGACATGTCCTCATTGCTGACTGCCTGGGGTGATGCTACTTGGAACGAAACCAGAGCCGGCAGCTGGAGCACTGGGCACTGGTTCTTCTGTGAGAGAGCTTCGCTCCCACAGAGATCAAGCCGCGTTTCCCTCACGCTCGATGCCTCGCTTCAGGAAGGCTGGCATGGCTGCAAACAGCTGAAGCTGCGTCACAGAGCTGCGGGTGCCTGAGCAAATAGCTTGATGGGGTGGCACTGCCACATCAGCCTCGCAAAGCTTTGACAGAAATGCAGCCGTGCTCACAGCCACATTCACATAAGCGAGAACGGAGTGCTAGCGAGGGGAGACCCGAAAAATCTGTCCTGCACCATTGAGTGTAGCAAAAAGGCGCTGCTGGGCCCTGTTAGGCCCTTTTGGGCCCTATTGGTGACATTATTGGGCACCATTCAGTTTCTATTGGGTTGTATTGGACACCCCCTATTTGGCCCCTTTGGACCACACATGGCTTTACCCGCACTGAGTGGTTAAGGGATTAAAGTCGCTGTTAAAACTGTGCGCTTCCTTTCGCCCACCCCACGAGACGCTCAAACGGTGATTTAGCTGGCCAAGTGCCTTGTGTGTAACTTGCCCGAACTCACCGACCGTCCTAGATTCAACAAATTGCAGGTCGCCCGCCTGGGCAGGCTCACGAAGCTGTGACAGAAAAGCAACCGTGTTCGCGGCCGCAGTCATCAGCGAGAACAGAGTGCTAGCAAGGGGAGACGCGATAAATCTGTCCTGCACCATTGAGTGCAGCAAGAAGGAGCTTCTTGTGGGCCCTCTTAGGCCCTTTTGGGCCCTATTGGTGACAGTATTGGGCACCATTCATTTCTATTGGGTTGTATTGGACACCCCAATGGCACTGCGCTGAGTAGTAAGGGTTCAAAGTGTTGGATTTGGATGAGTCACTGCATCTTATTTCGCCCACCCCACCGGACGCTCAAATGGTGATTTAGCTTGCCAAGTGCATGATGTGTAATTTCCCCGAACTTGACGACTGCCCTGGATTCAACAAACTGCCGTAACTTGCAGCACTGCTTGGGGTGATGCTACTTGGAACGAAACCAGAGCCGGCAGCTGGAGCACCGGGCACTGGTTCTTCTGTGAGAGAGTTTCGCTCCCATAGTGTTGTCACAGAGATCAAGCCGCGTTTGCCTCACGCTCGATGCCTCGCTTCAGGAAGGCTGGCATGGCTGCAAACAGCTGAAGCTGCGTCACAGAGCTGCGGGTGGCTGAGCAAATAGCTTGATGGGGTGGCACTGCCAAATCAGCCTTGCAAAGCTGTGTCAGCAATGCAGCTTCACAGCCACACACAATTCCAAGTCCTTGCGGCAGCCTGCATGGGCACCACACCCAACAGCACTCTTGCGAAGCTGCAGCAAATGTCACTTGCCCCACCCAGAGCAATAGCGGGCGACGCAAAGAGGCGGCTGCATGGTGGGAGGCTAACGTGGCTGAGGTGAAGGTCTCGGGGCTGCAAGGCACATGCCGTGGCGAGGCTCGGGTCAAGGCGTGACCGCTACAGGGCGCTGACGGCTTAGCTCGCAAATGCTCGTCAGCAATGAAGCAGTGCACAGCGGCAAGTCCTGAGGGCAGTTTGCTTGAGGCAGAGCCACTTGGAAAATTACGCCCAAAGTCCTCGTGGCAAGCTCTGTTAGAAGGAGCCGACAACTGAGGCACTGGGCACAGAACCTCCTGTACAGAAGTTCGGCTCCACGAGATCTCACTTGCAGCCAAAGCAATTCCGGGCGACGCAAAGAGAGCATCATGGTTTGAGGGAGGCTAACGTGGCAGCCACGCACGGCTCGGGTTAAGGTGGGAGAATTTTGCTTGTCCCGCGGCCCGCAGGGTGTTGACGGCTCAGCTCACAAAGACTCGTCCCCAACACAGCAGTGCCTACAGAGACAAGTGCTGATGGCAAACTGGGAAGGAAACCAGAACCGGCATTTGGAGCAATGGGCGCTCAATCTATTGTGCGAAAGTTGGATTTTCGGATCTCAAGCCACGCTCGTTGCAAGCTTGATGCCTCGCTTCGGGAAGACTGACGCGCTCCAGACTGCAGCTCAGCACACAGCCGCGGGTGAGCACCAGTCAATTCGAAGTCTGGAGGCTGCAAGGCAGGTAGCATGAAGGGGTCGAATCCACGGGGCGGTGATGGCTCAGCTCACAAATGCTCGTCAGCAACGCAGTGCCTAGCGACTGGGGGAAGTTCAACAAACGGTTCCTGGACACAGCCTTTCCGCCTTTTCACGTAACCCTTGCGGCGTTGACGGCTCACTTCCGACAGACTGGAGCCGCAAATAAACGCAGCGGCGCAGAGCTGGCAATATCTCGCGCGCGCCAGCGTAAAGGCCCCGATGCGCCTGTGCCGTCGACTCATCTCATGAACAGGAAGTCAATCCTCTTGGATGCCCTGGCGAAGCTCGGTGGAAGGACAGTGACCTAGGCATTTGACCTGTTGCGCAGAAACGGTTGCCGCAAGCTTTCTGGCTCGCTTGAGAAAGATTGTGATTGGCACAGCTAAGACTGGGCGCAGCTACCGCAAAGAGTCGGCGAAGGTCAAGCAAAGAGCCGGCGACGGTCTGGCGACGGTCAAGCAAATACCTTAACTGATTTTCGCATTAGGGCAAACAATGAATTCCAGCTCCTCGGGACAGATTACTCGCGCGCCGTCGCAGCGGCTTGGAACCAAGCCCGAACTGGCAGCTCAAGCACCGGGCACTGACCTTCATCCGCAGGAGCTTTGCTTCAAGATGCCTCAAGCCACGCTTGCTCCAGCTGCTCCAGCTGCTCCAGCTGCTCCAGCTGCTCCAGCTGCTCCAGCAAAGGAACTGAAGGCGATGCACAGTGGAAGGGGGCAGAGTGGTGTGAGATTTCATGGTTTCGGGGCAAAGCTGGGGGCTGCCAGGCACACAAACGAAAGGGCCAGGCATTCCGACTTGTCGCGCGCATTGCAAATCATGGCAAACTGCGGGGGCGCATCGTTTGACACGCCTGCGCAACAACTTGGGATGAGTCACCACCAGCTGCAGCCCTGGGCATTGGAGCGTCATCGTCTGACTGGCCGACGGGTCGCAAAGATAAACGGCGTTGAAGCATTTGCTTCATGATCAAACTCAGCATGACGAAGGCGTCCGCCGGAAACGGCTGGTACGAATCCACACTCGGGCGCAGCTCCAAGCACACTCTCACGCTAAAAAGCGTGCCGTCGGATGGACTGGAGATTGTCGGATTGCAGAAAGCGTTGCGCTTGGCACGCTTTGCGACCGCCATGCCTGCAACCCAAGTTGGCTGAATATCCAGTTGAGCCGACCAGGACGGGCGTGCAGTTGCCCCCACAACCCTTCAACAGCACATGGAGCAAAAACATCCGGGTGTTCGGGGAGGCAGGGGGGGGTTCAAGCGAAACCGGCCCCTACTCCTGCAATGGACATGTTACATGTTAATGGCAGATTGAATGGTTGCCTGGAACGTCCGTAGTCAAGAATGATAGGAACTGCCAAGTTACATCTGTCAACGTCTCTTTGAACCACCGTGTCCTAAACAGCAGCCTCCCCGACCAACTCTCTTAAAAACGACATCATTGTGTCCCCCCTCCCATCAGGGAAAGATTTGCACACACCCTTGGTCGAGATTTTGGGGCCTAACACACCTCAAGCCATGTAGGACGCCAAAGGCATCTCTCCTTTTTTCAGCACGCAAGCAAAAGCATGTCCAGCCACGTGCCCTGGAAGTCAAAGGTCGAGAACTGCCTTCGCGAAAGAAACTCACTGCCGATTTTGGGGGGTTGGATGGACAATGTCCAAACGGATTCTTTCATGGGAGCCACCTTGAAACACAGTTTCCCACAGCAGGTAGGAACTGGCGCCACCATAAGACAAAACAACATGCCACGCCAAACATCTGCAGAGCTTCGATTTGGCACTGTAAGTAAGAAAACTGGTCAGCCCAAAATAGCCCTGTGTTCACCCACACAGCTCGACACACATCGCGGACGCAATGCATCTGTCCCGAGGGTATATAGGGCACATGCCTGTTCAAGCTGACAAGCCGAAAGGGATGCTTGTTCCGGTTGCATGCATTCCCATTAAAAAAGGTTGCAAACAGCAAAGCCACCGGCAATGTGCTGGTGCATTGCGTGCTGCAAAGCGATTGAATCTGCCGAGTACGCCTCCGTCCAGTGGTCACCGTCAGAGCTCATCTGCAGCGCGAAAGCCGACTGCGTGTACTCAACATTCACAACCGCAGACAGAGAAGGTAACAGGCCCAGAAGCCTCGTCCAGCGGCTGGAAGCCTGGACGCTGGAAGCCACACCGTCCACGGCCCGCACCGTGCCCGGGGTCCAACCACCGGAGCAGGCCGCGGTGCTGGCCCTTTCTGACTGAAGCACAGCCCGCCAGAGCCGAGCTTCACTTGCCATTGTGCAGCTCCAACTTCCCTGCGTTATCACACGCTGCAGGCTTCAACAGCTCGCCAGACACGACGCGTTCGAGGCCGGCGCCCAAGCGCTTGCCAAACGCAGCATTCGTCAGCACGCCGCCAGGCGTCAAACTCCACATTTCGCGCCCATCCATATACCAGCCACAGACTCACTGCAGGCTTCCAAGTACGCTGCGGCGCCAGACCCAACCAGGCACGGCTCCTGCGAAGTAATCCCAATGAGCATGAAGCTGGCAGGAGGTCCAGCAGCTGCGGGCTACTCCTCTGCCTCAACCACCGGCAAGCATGATCTTTATTCCCTTGAGAAACCAAAACTCTGGACAGCGCGCCCGCGCTGTTTTAAAACCCCTGCTAAGCCTTCAAGGTAAGCCCTAGTAGAGGCGGACACCCTTTGCAACACCACCAAGTAGGCCCCCGCCCCACGCCGGCAATTGACACAGCTGAACAACTGTTCTAAAGCAATCACTTTGGTCGTAACCTATTCAAGGTCTGTTTTGACGGCCTCTCTATGACTCGATGGCACGGCGCTTTTTCTTTGGAGACTCGGCGCCAGAGCGGGGTGCGGGGTTAGCAACAGCGGCGCGTCCATCTTCTGATTCTGGCAGCCTTCTGCGGCTGCGCTCACCGCAAGCTGCTTCTGCTTCTGCTTCACTTCATGGCGCTGCATCTTCGCATCTCATTTCACGTGGCCGGCACCACGTCACAAGGCAGGAAAGGCTTGCAGAGACGCGAGAGCTGCACGCTGGGACTGCAGAAGCAAAGTCACGGGCCCCCAACCACACGGCACAGGACCATCCAGCCATCTCTCATTCCCCCCGCTTGAAGGGCTGTAAACTAGCAACCTTGGCGCAAGCTGCATTGAGGGCTGCAAGAATCTCCCCGAAGCTGTTGCAAAATAATTGGGTAACCTGGGCCGGATTCATCCAAACAACGTGTCTTGAATAGGAATTCATCTTCACGCGCGTGAGACCCGAGACAATGCCTTTGAAGCCTCTTGGAACATCGGGCTTTGCCAAAGGCACTAGACTTGCTCCCATTTGGCATGCCCAGCATTTGGACGCGGACCCTGCCAGACTGCAATCGCATCGAATGCAAGCGTCTGAGCGCGGGCAAATGCCGGAAGAGGGACTGTAAGCCACTCAGTTGCGATGGCAGAAGCCTCAGGCCGCATGGCAAACGATGGCAGGAACAAGCTCCACAACTGAGAACGTTGCCGGAAACTGCGACTTCTGCAACCCTTTGCTGACAAGTCGGCTTGTCCGCAAAGAACGAGTAGATTGGCTCAGGGCAGCACCGCGGGACGGCACTTGCATCGGAAGCACCGAGGCTCACGCTCACAAAGGCACGTCAGCCACGCCCCCACGGGCATGAATCGGAACTCCGGCTGCCGGAGCCCTTGGGCAACACAAAGACTTGCAAAGTCGCAGCGAAGAGCTGCACTGCAGAAAGCCGGAAGCAACTCTGCAGCCTTTCACCCTTTCACCTCCAAGCGACTGCCAAGCGCAGAAACTCCCGAAACTCGACTTGGCTGACGACCGTCATTCCGGCAGCCCCAATCGCATCGCAATTCCTGAGTGGGCTGGGCCGGGCTGGGCCCAGGAGCTTTGGGAAGGACCACAGGGTGCGTCTCCAAGGATGATCTTGCCGAGGCTTTGCATCCAGAACGCGAGTGCGACCGCGTGGCCAAGACAAGGTCTTCACATCAATCAGCCTGCCGGCACAGTCTCCCTAGCGCAGCTAGAACGACGTCGCTCAAACTCGCAAAGCCATGCGTCATTTATGCAGCCTTGCTTGGGGCAGTGGATCCAAACCATTCGAAGTGCGTTGCAGCTCACCCTGGGCAACTCAAATTCACCTGTGGCACATACCAACGCTGGGACGCTAGGGGCTCAACGTATCTGGTCTTGGCTCCAGGCAAAGTGCACCTGCCCAAGGCACGGCTCATTTCAGGAAGATTGTTGGCGGAGGAGCCCATGCTTCTGGCGAATCTGCTCACATTCATGCCTCAACGACCCCTCGCAGAGCCACCAGCTCAAGCTCACAAACGGGTGTCAGCTACGCATGCTAACCACATGCCGCCAACAGATCTGACCAAGGCAAAGTCTTCGCATTCAACCTCTGCCCGCAGGCTCGGCGTCTGCAACGCGCCCAAAGCGCCGACGCCCACGAAATTCCGAAAGACCTGCAGAGTGAGTAGCTTGAAGAGATATCAAGCCATCTGCAGACGGCAGTTGCTGCCGCAAACAGTTGGGGGCCTCCAAAGCAGACACCTCGCTGGGGGTGGCCCTTACGTGTATCCTCACGCAGCCTTCAGACTCCTGTACAGCTCAGGTGTGTGTCAGCAATGCAGCAGCGCGCACAGCCACAGGAAACAAAGTCCAAGTCACGACTTGGGCACTTCGTGCAAAGCTACGTAGCCAGCCCAAAAACCGCCCTTGCTCGAAGCTTGACGCCTCGCTTTGGAATGACTGGCATAGCTGGCTGCAAACGGCCGCAGCAGCCGCAAAACAGTTTGGGTCCGCCGCCAAGCAGCTGCACAGCTCTCAGGCCCGCTTCAGCAATGGAGGAGTGCCCAAAGCCGCACACAATCTAGTCCAAATCTTCGCGACAAACTAATTGGGCACTGTGCCTGGGGCACGGTGCTAGTAACTCGCAAAGGTGTTGCTAGACCTAGGACCTAAAACTGGCTCCAAGAGATCTCTTTCCTCATCTGCATCAGCAGATTGATTTCTAGGGCAGTCCTCGCATGCCCTTGGACTGCTTTTTGTCGGTTGAGCCCGCTGGTCTTAAGCATCCCAAGCGAGTACCTTGTACTGCTTGAGCCTGCTGTTCTTAAGCAGTACGGGGGGCGGCAAGGGGGCGAGGGACTTGGCACATGGCGGGCGACCTTTTCCGGCACCATCTCCTGATTTGGGAGTTGCAAGCACTCGAACGGGTGTTTTCCCACAAATGGCACTTTCGGTGGTCACTGGGTCCCACCATTTTAGGGACGGGGCACTCGACCTAGTCAACTCGCTCGAATTGTCCTTATATTTGTACTCACGCAGCCTTCAAACTTCTGCGAAGCTCACAAGTGCGGGTCAGAAATTCAGATGCGACCGCAAACGAGAACAATCAAGTCCAAGGTCTTCATGACAAACTAATTGAGCATTTCGTCCAACGGCACTCCAAAGCTCTTGACATGGGGCCAGCGGCTAGGAAACCGGCACTCCAAACCACGAAGCTCGGGGCTGTCCTTACATTCCTCACGCCTTCAAACTATCTCAAGCTCCTCGCAGCTAAGTGTGGGTCGGCAGTTCAGATTTTCCCTCAGCAATCAATCAAGTTCAAGTCGTGGCAAACTAATTGGGCACTTCGTGCAACAGTACTCTGGCAAAGCGACTTGATATCGCATACACCCGGCAAGTAGGAAACTGCAGGCTGGAGCGAGTACACGTGAGTTGCCCGAAGCTAGATGCCTCGATTTGGAAAGACTTGCATGAATGGGTGTAGACGGCTGCAACTGCGGCAAACAGTTGGGGTCCGCTTAAGCATACGCCTCGCCAGGGTTCTCCCTACATTTGTCATCACACAGCCTCCAAGCCCCTGCATTGCTGACGGCTGAAATCAGGAAGGCCGCAGCACCGACGTCTTGTCAACACGCGCGAGCAACGCGAAAAAGACCACTGGCAGAGTGCTTGTGTGTCGTGCCTGGCAGAACTCCAACGCAGCGGCTGGAAACACAACTAGAACCGGCAGCTGGAGGACTGGGCACTAGTTCTTCTGTGCGAAAGTTTTGCTCCCCGAGATCAAGACAAGTTTGCCTCATGCTTGATGCCCTTGCCTGCATGGCTGCAGACTGCTGTAGCTGCGGCGCAAAGCTGCGGGTGGCTGAGCGGAAAGCTTGCGGCCGCGACAAGAACGCAGCGGTGTTCACAGCCACACGCACTTTGAAGTCTTTGTGGCACACTGCTTGGATACCGCATCCAATAGCATATTGCCGAAGCTTCTTGGAAGAAAGCTAGAACCGACCCGCTGTGTGAAGAACTGGGAGCTGGGCCTGTCGTCCAGCGAGTTGGAGACACGCTCGCCCCAAGCCATGGCTCCCTTCGGAACAGGCAAAGCCGCAGGACGTTGACGGCTCAGCTCACAAACACTTGTCAGCGACGCAGCACTGTCTTGGGGCGGAGCTAAGGGGACAATCAAGCCCAAGTCCTCGTGGCAAGCAAGCTCTGTTGTCGCCATGTCTGGAATGAACCGGTTGCTGGAGCACTGGGCACAGAGCATACTGTCTGGAAGTACGGCGCTAAAAAGTCTCGCTTGCGCCAGCCAAAGCAATTCTGGGCGACACAAAAAGAGTAGCACGGTTTGAGGGAGGCTAACACGGCAGCGGTGAGGGTGTGGGGCCGCCAAGGGCGCGCCATGCGAGGCTCGGGTCAAGGCAGGAGTATACAAATATGTCAGTTCTGTAGCTGCTACAGGGCGTTCGTGGCACGACTTGCAAACGCTCGTCAGCGACGCAGCAGTTCCTGTAGCGACATGTCCTCATTGCTGACTGCCTGGGGTGATGCTACTTGGAACGGAATCAGAGCCGGCAGCTGGAGCACTGGGCACTGGTTCTGCTGTGCGAGAGCTTCGCTCCCACGGAGATCAAGCCACGTTTGCCTCCCGCTTGATGCCTCGCTTCAGGGAGCTGCATGGCTGCAAACGGCTGAAGCTGCAGCGCAAAGCTGTGGGTGGCTGAGCAGATAGCTTGCTGGGGCTGCCAGCTCAGGCTCACAAAGCTGTTCAAAGCCACAGTCATGAGCGAGAATGGAGTGCTGGCAAAGGGAGACCGGGAGGCCCATTAAATCTGTCCTGCACCACTGATTGCACCAAGAAGGCGCTTCTGGGCCCCGTTAGGCCCTGTTTGCTCTATTGGGCATTATTGGGCACCCAATAAGCCCTTTCGGGCCCTATTGGGCCGTGCTAAGGGTTCACAGTCTTGGACTTGTATGAGTC